GTCGCTTGCAAAGCCAACCGACCCGACTGATAGAGGGCCGTCCTCGCCCTCGAGCGTCAGCGTGGTGACCTGGCCGACGATGCGCACGCCAAAGATGGGCGCCTCGAAGCCAGCCGCGACCGGCACGGGCTCCTTGTCCTCCTCGCCGCCGCCGGTGCGGGCGCGCTTGCGGGCGGAGGACGCCATTGCCGCGGTGAACAACGCTGCTGGATTCGGGACACGGGCGTGCGGGGGCGAGCTATGCCCGACAAACAAAAGCTGTACCTAGAGCTGTAGAGCTGTAAGAGAGGTGTGGAGCGCTGTAGAGCTCTACATCCGCGGCGCGGGACGAAGAGCACGATTTCACAGTGGGTGTGCGGGATGTCTGTACGGCCTACGGCCGGGCGGCGGCGCGCGGACAGCGGCGGCGGCGCGGCGGCGCTACTCCTCTGCTGCTGCTGCTGCTGGTGATGATGCTGCTGCTCCTGCTACCCCTCCCGCCCGCCCGCCCCGCCCGCCCGCTCGGTAAGCTCTCTTCACCTTCACACTGGTCGAGTCATAGCACATAGGCGCGAGGGGCGTGTGGCATGTCTTGCGAGGAGGGGCGCCTGCCAAAACCTCGCTTCGTCGAAGCGGCGCGTCGTACACACACACACCCACCTCGCTGAAGCTCCTCCGTCTGCGAGGTGCTGCTGCAGGCAGGCGCGGCGGTGGACTCGTACACGCTGCGGCGCGCCTCTCTCCCGCAGATCCGATGCGGCTAGTGGGTTGTGCGCGGCAGTGCCGGCCAAGTCCAGCCACTCAACAAGGCCGCCGACCAGACGGCGCTCCACCTAGCCGTCGAATGCTTGGTGGAGGAGCAGAGCGAGGACACGGCCCTCGTCCGGCTGCTGATCGAGCACGGCGCCGACGTCGGAGCGCTCGACAGCCGGAGGCGCACCCCGCTCGAGAGGGCCATCTCTGGAGGCTTGCACGCGGTGGTGGAGCTGCTCGCAGAGGCGGTGTGGCGGCGGGCGCACGTTGGCAGAGGGAGGCTGGGGCACGTCCACGACATGTCCGAGACATGTGCCATAGGCGGCAGCCACGGCTGGACTCCGCCCTGTCTCGCAGCGCGGTCCGGCGCGGCAGACGTGACCAAGGCGCTCCTCGCGGCTCGGGCAGACGTGCACGCTTGCTCGGCCAGCGGCAAGACGGCGCTCGAGATCGCGACCATCAACTGCAGGGCCGGAAGCCGGCCCGTGCTCGAGGCTATCCAGACCGAGGTGGCCGCATCTGTGGTCGAGATTGCGCTCCGCCGCCGCCCGCCCACACCGCTCGCGGCAGTCGCACCGGCGCCGGCGCGGCCGTGCTTGCCCGCCCCACCCGCGCCGGGCTCCGCTAGGGCCTTCCCCACTCTTGCGCGTGCGGAAAGCGTGCTGCTGCGCGCACGTGCGCCCTGCCTCCGGCGTGGGAGGATGCGGCGCACCCCTCTGGAATGGTGAAGCCACGGCGGCGGCCGAACACCGACGCCGCAGGCGGCACGGCGCCGCGGGCGCGCGCTGGACGGTCTGGTGTGTCGTGTGAGCCGTCTGTTGGCTTGGCAATGCTTGGCCGCCGTCTCGAGCACTGGCCACTGCTCAGCACACAGCAGCCCGCGGGGGATCGAGAAACGAGAATTCGTGGTTTGACAGGCTTCTCCCCCCCCGCCCCCCGCCCTAACCGGGCTCGCGCCCCTGGGGTCTCGTCTGTTCACTGTTGTCCATTTTTGGTGTGTTGTGTGTGCTATGACTGCGACACAAGATACGCTAGGCATACGGTACACGCGTGTCGCGTGTCGCGTGTACGGAAGGTCGGAAGCACTTATCGGCTTTACCGGTACCTTTAGCGTTTAGGCTTTACTTAGGATAGAGGATAGCGTGTCGAAACTGAAACGAAAAGTCCACATGATGCGACATACCATCGAGTACTACTCAGTACTCTACTCCCCGGGAGTACTGACTACGGCTAGCCCTACGAACTAGGTCCGGCGCACGTCAACATCGCTTTGGCCACAGGCACAGCCCTCCACGTCGCTCGCGCTTTCTCCCAGACCCACTGCCCCCCCCCCCCCCCCCCTAGATGGGGCCACGTCGGGGGGGAGTGTGCTCACGCCTCCACATCCATCGCCTCCTGGTGCTGCCCCTCGGGCACCTTGGCGAACATGAGCTCGATGAGCGTCCCCTAAACAAGTGACGGCCGGCCGGTGAAAAGCAGCGGCGCGGCCGGGCTCGAGGGGCCCCGAGGAGCGTCGCCTTGACGTCGTCCGCGTCGTCCGCCTCGTCGAGCTTGCTCTCCTCCACGCCAGCCTCCTTGGCGCGCTTCTTGAGCGCCGACGGCTTCATCCCTCCCAGCTCCTCGCGCAGCAGAGACGCCTGCTCCTCCCCCGCCGCTGCCTCCGCCTCCTCTGCCTCCGCCTCCTCCGCCGCCGCCTCCTCCTCCGCCGCCTCCTCCTCCGCCGCCTCCTCCTCCGCCGCCTCCTCCTCCGCCGCCTCCGCCATGGTCACCTCCGCTCCTCCCGACTTTGCCGGATCCGCCGCCACCGCCTCCTCCTTCTCCGCCTCCTCCTCGTCTGGAAACTCCTCCTCCTCCTCCTCCGCCGCCGCCGCCTCCGCCGCCGCTTCCTCCCCCTCCTCCGCCGCCTCCGCCTCCGCCTCCGCCTCCTCCCCCTTCGCCCCCTCGCGCGCCTTCGCCTCGGCGGCGATCTCCTCCTCGTACCGCGTCAGGTCGGCCGCCGCCTTCTCCTCGAAGGGCGCGCGCTCCTCCTCCGACAGCGCCTCGAAGGCCTGCTCCATCATCTGCACGAGCTCGGCCGGCGCAGCCTCGGGGTTCGCCTCGGCGATGGCGGAGCGCTTGCTGCGCTTGTAGTAGTAGAGCGCCGCACGCGCCGGCGCAACCTCCGACGGAGGCTGCTCCGCCTCGGCCGGGGGAGACGCATCCGGCTCGGCGGCGGCCGCGCTGGCCGACGGCGGCGCGGGCGCAAGGATGCCCATCGCGCGCTTGACGTTGAGGACGGAGGTCGGCTGCTTCTTGAGGGCGCCGACCGTGTCCTTGCCCTTTGGCGCGTACACCTGCGGTGGAGGGTGCAGAGAGGGGCGGGGCGGGGCGGGGCGGGGGGGGGGGTCGAGGCGTGTGGGGGGGGGGGGTACGCTCGAGGCGCCGACGGGCGTCTCTCCGCGCGCCCGCATGTCGGAGATCTCGGCGGATCTCGGCGGATCTCGGCGGATCTCGGCGGATCTCGGCGGTGACGGGCGGTGCCGGGCGGGCCGGGCGCCTGCATGTCGAAGGTGTCTGCCTTGCCCTCCTTGGAGGTCCGCTTCTTGAGCTTGAGCTTCCAGCCGTGCACGACCGACTCGTGGTCCTCCTTGGCCTTCTTCATCTGTGGACCGGCGAGGCGGGGAGGGCGCCACAGAGGCGGTGGGAGAGGCAGGGAGGCGGTGGAGGGAGGGAGGCGGGAGGCGGCGAGGCGGCGAGGTGCGAGGTGGCGCGAGGTGGCGACGCGGGGGGCCAAGCGGCAGTCTGTCCCGCCGGGGAGCGATGCCGCACTCTCGGACGTGTCTGGGAGGTGTCTGGGAGGTGTCTGAGAGGTGTCTGTGAGGTATCTGGGAGGTGTCTGGGACCTGTCTTTGAGGTGTGTGGGAGGTGTGTGGGAGGTGTGTGGGAGGTGTCTGGGACGTGTCCGGGAGGTGTGTGGGAGGTGCCTGGGAGGTGTGTGGGAG